TTTATTTATTTTTTAATTTTTTAATATTTATTTTTTAGTTTTCAGCGGACACAACATCTTTATTTGTATGTGGTGCTGAGGATCGAACCCAGGCCACACGCATGCCAGGCAAGCACGTACCACTTGAGCCATATTCCCCAGCCCCTTTATTTTTTATTTTGAGCTAGGGTCTTACTAAGTTCCTGAGGCTAGCTTTGAACCAGTGATTCTTCTGCCTCCACGTCTCAGTAGATGGGATTATAGCCATTTCCCATCTTGCCCAGTTTTATTTTTATGTGGTGCTGAGGATCGAACCCAGCGCCTCGCACATGCTAGGTGAGCACTCTACCACTGAGCCACAGTCCCAGCCCCTTAAGTATTTTATTTTTGATGATGCTATTGTGCATGAACTTGGTTTTCCTTTTTTTTAAGTAGATGAGGTTTCATTAAATTGTCCGGGTGGTCTCAAACTCCTGAACTGAAGTGATCCTCCCACCTCAGCCTCCCATGAAATTTTCTTAATTTCATTTTTGGATAATTGATGTTTCAAATGTTTTATGTCATCTGTCATTCTTGAATTATCTGGAGCCCTGAGCCTGCTTGTAATTCTAGCTAGTTGGGAGGCTGAGGAAGAAGGATCTCAAGTTGGAGGCCAACCTTGGCAACTTAGCAAGACCCTGTTTCAAAATAAATATAAAATAAAAAGTTTGGGGATGTAACTCAATAGTAGAGTTCCCCGGGTTCAATCCCTAGTATCACAAAGGGGGAAAAAAAAATCTGGAACAGAAAGAGCATGAGTAATGGTGATAATATGCAATAGAATTTAATTGAGGGTAACCTCACTTAAATATGGCTGCTTTCAAATAGACCACATGGAATATGTTGGTTTACGGGATTCATCATTCAAACTACCATAACTTATTATTTTGTGCGAAACTATTGTTTGTGTATTTTGTGTGTGTAGAGGGGTTTTTTTGTTTGAGACAGTCTTTGTTGCCCAGGTTGGTCTCAAACTCATGGGTTCAAGTGATCCTCCTGCCTTAGCCTTCTGAGTAGCTATAACTATAGTCACCACTACCCCCCAATTTTATTTATTTAGGGTACCAGGGATTGAACTCGGGGGCATGCAACCTCTGAGCCACATCCCCTGCCTTATTTTGTATTTTATTTGGAGACAGGGTCCCACTGAGTTGCTTAATGCCTCAATTTTGCTGAGGCTGGCTTTGAACTTGCTATCTTCCTGCCTCAGTCTCCCAAGCTGCTGGGATTATAGGCGTGTGTCACTGTGCTCAACCAAATTTTTATTTTTTTGCATGGCCCAGTTCTGTACTGAATATGCAATGTTGT